GATCAGAATGAAATTTTGATAGAAAAGTGAGAAACACTGGATCATATCCTCACCGTGTGTAAATCGATATTGCTCCATTGATTTGATGGAGCGATGGTGGTTTACCTCACCTGAGGATCTGGCTTCCTGTCTTGAAGATTTTCCATGATTTTCCTCTACCATCTTCTGATGGCTATTCTGATCCACTTGGAAATTAGCCACGATACTGGGGCTAATACATCTGACTCTTGTGAAATGTGCTACAGATTCTTTAATGACTATGCAGGCTGTCAGAAAGTTGCAATAAAGTAAGACTAAATGAGTGAAATTCACCCCAGTTAGAAAACCAGCATGAGGACCACCTGAAATCTAACTCACATCCTCAAAATAAGATTGGAGTGATTCACATGCCTTGCACTGATCTTTTGCACAGGGATGAATTTCACCCTAATGTGTAGAGCTGTAAAATCTGATCTCGTATAATTAAGAACAGAGTCTGTGTTTACACTTGCTAGAATTCATTACAATTCCTATCTGACTCTGGTCTCAAATCACCAGCTTGGCTTAGGAAGAAATGTTCTCCAGTGCCAAGTTTGCCATAGAATTGAACATGTAGGTACTACTTGGGCTGAGCACGATGTCCATGAACAGTTTTGCTTCTCCTCCGACATCCCTCGATTGTGTGGTTGAAATTTCATTGTAACACAATTTTTTCAAACAGCTCCATAGTTATATTTATTATGGGGTTATTTTACTTTCTGAAACATAGGGAATTGGGAAAAGAAGCTGAATTAGATGGACCACTGTTCTTGTTTTGGTTTGGTAGCTCCTATGTTCCTGCAGTACAAGCTCTTTGTCTTATCCAACATAAAATCAATGCCGCAGAAGAACTGGCAGATATGCAGCAGAATAACTATTATTCTCAAAATAACCCAAAGAAAATGGAATTTTCCCATTTCTCCTGCATAATCTTTTGAATTTCATTAAAACAATTAATTCACTGGTGTTCTAGCTCTTCCCTTCCTTTTTTAAAATATAAAAATAACATAGATGAAAGAACAATTTTTGTTATCTGTTTGCTTTACTTCATTTGCAGTGTTTCTTCTATCAAATGAAACTTTGGAGATTAGCAAATAAAATACATCACAAAATATTTCCATCTGTAATGAATGGAGAGATTAAAAGTTTAGTACAATACACAAACACTCCTAGGTCTTTCTCCCCAAAGCTATCCCATGGAGACTGAAAACATCCTTTCCTAAGATTCCAAGTGCTTCAAAAAGCTGTAATCAGACTTTTTTGTTTCCAGGAAGACTAGTGCTATTGTATTTCATTTTTCTCCTTGACAAATTGTACTTTTTCTTCCTTTCTATTAGTTTGGGTAAGTCTGAGGTGAATTTGGCCCTCATTAAAGTCGAAAAACGAATGGCACTGATTAGATCCTGGTACAATACAGGCAGGAGTTTGACAAAATTCCCTTTGCAGCTCTGCTGGGGCAACTCAAGTTTGACCCACAACACCCCTATTCTTCTGACTCGGGTCTCTGGCAAGCTCCGCTCATAAATGATGCCAAACCTTGCGGTGCTTTTCCTGATGGGTGTAACCATCTATTAGGGATGCTACCAGTATTTCCACTTGCAATACTTCAAGTTAAGTCTGAAGAGATGAAAGGTTTCTTTAACCCACTGCACCACCTTGTCTGGTGTGAGAGCTACTCCGCTGGTGTGAGGTATCCACGCCAAGCAAGAAAGTGACAGAAAAATGAAGCCCTGTCATGTTACCTGTCCATGCCAGTTCCATAAACTAGTTCTTTTTATTTTATAAATTTCATCTTTCCAAAGACTGCTTAGTCCCACCATGTACATGACACAAACCTGAAAGAAAATGAGCATGTTGGGCTAAAAGCATACAAGATAAGCAAAACATGTTCTCTTTTCAACAGCCATCACTAGCACAATGGGGCTTATGAAGCATATGTGTGTATCATACACTGATTTAATGTGTGATTTTTGTCTCCCCTTATAGGCTTGCCTCTGCAACTAAATTGCCCTGCTGCCTTCAATTTAGGATGCTTTCCTTGAGCTCCAAAAGTAGAGGCCTGTGTTTCTGGTGAAGTAGTCCCTGGGTTCAAGCTCTGCTGAAGAACCAGGGTGGGATCATTATAAAGTGGCACCACAAATTAGGACTTGAACTCTTGTGGGGTTCTAGATGCTTGAGACAAGGTTGTATTGCAGGGGAGAGTGTGTAATGTACTGACCTAGTCCATGTCTAGGATCTCATGTCTTCCTCTACTAGTTCTAAGTCCCAGCTCTGATCTTGTCTTTTCTTTAGCTGTTGGTATGTTAGGTGCCTGATTTCAGAGATCCAAGTCCTCATGACTCCTGTTGTTAATTAAATTCAGTGGGAGCTGCTGGTACTCAGCACCTCTGAAAATTGGGCTTTAGGCCTTTTTTACCAAGAATTTCCTACCATTGCTACCACTGGTTATTTAGAAGAAGGGTGTTCTTGTGGTCAGGGCATTGGACTGGGACTACACATCTGGAAATCTGGGGTGAGTTTGCCAGCTTTGCCATAGACTCACTGTGTGACCTGGGTTATATCACTTAGGGGCTGATTCTGACCTGTGCTGAGCAAAGCTCTGATATGAGAGAGGGATGGGGAGGTTCTTCAAGGAGCTGGTTCTGGATCCCTGATTCTGGGGCTGGAGTTGGGCCCAGTGATGATTGGAGCTGCTCCTAGGCAGCATTAAGTTGGGCCACTGCTATAGCATCTTTAATAGATACTACATTAGGGGAGGATTGCATTCGCCCTGCCCCACTTGACCACTACACTAGGAGGGACATGGGGTGGAGGAGCAGAGCCAAGACATATCAGCAGGAAGTTCTTCTCTAGCATGGGAACTCTCTGCTGGGTATTTGTAAACTACTTGGAGAATCTGGCCCTTAATCTGTAATCCCTGTCTGTAAAAGTAATACCCCCTGTCTCCCACCCTCTCTCTGTTTCATCTACAGTATTTAGATTGTCAGCTCTTTTGAGCAGTAAATATCATTTGCTATGTGTGTGCACAGTGCGTTGAACAATGTGGAAATTGTGAAGCACAATGGGAAATTGATTTCAATGGGATTTAAGAGCATGCTTAAGTACTCTGCTGAAATAGGGCCTAATGTGTCTTTTCTCCTCTGCAGCACATAACAGAGGGAACATTTGTGTGGATCCCATTGTTTGGATGTGCAGTTTTAGATAAGGCCCATATCTCCTTCAAACAATAGAGTATGAAAAGCAGATGTGTATTCAGAGCACTTATGTCCCAGTAGCAGAACAAGGAGACCTTTTTTTTTCCCTCTCAAAATATTTTTATCGGGGTCACAAACAAACACAGGAAAATCAAGGTCTCATACATAGAGTTCCAAGTAAAACAGACAAGAGAAGTTGGATAATTTTAAATACATGCTTGCAAATAAATTTCTTAACCAGTGTTGAGATATCATAGTTGTATAAATACAGTAAATGTAGTTTCTTTGGGAATGTATATGTATATAACTCCTATTATTATTAATAGAAATTTAAGTACATCAAGATTTTAAACACAAATGTCTAAAAGTTTGACTTAAGTTTTCCTTTTAAAAACACACAGACAAATATTCAGTTTGGTGTACAAGAGTTCAAAGGTTCCAAATTGATTTTTACTGGGGAAAATGTAGCACTTCCTGTTAGGATCCATCCCTACAGTAACTTATCAGTGTAAATCAGAATGATCATCCAAGTTAATGAGTGTCAAAGATGAATGGAAATTTGCTCATTTCACAAAACGTTGTATTTGGTCTACTAATTCATCAATTTCCTGCAGACACAATAAAGTACATCTCACTTCTGGATTATTTCCAGTTTTTCTCTAAACACTGCCAAATATTAAAAGATGAAATACTAATAAAACAAGAAATATCTTGACACTGACTAGTCTATGAATTGTGTGCTGTTTTGTCTGAGACCAGTACTCCTAATTATTTTTGCAGTTTCATAATAGCACCAAGTTAAATTCCTTTTTCTTTTGCTGCAAAACCAAAGACATTGGATGTAAAGGTTGAGCTCCTTTCTACTTATAAAACACAATGGTCTTTATTTCCTTATTGAAACTAACAGGAGTTATAGGCAGACATTCCAGAGCACAGAAACAAGAATATACTTCTCACATGTCAGGACAAAATGCAGATGATAAATGTTAAAGCATAACTCAAGGCAAGATGAGCTGAAAATGTCCCCCCAAAGATGTGCTTTTCTAGACCCTGATCACCAAGAGACTGATGCATATATTTAATTTTAAGCATGTGAGCCCATTTGACTTCAATGGGACTAGTAATATGCTTGAAGTTAAGTGTGTGCTTAAGTCCTCACAGGATGAGGGCCTTATTGCCGTTGAATGAAATCTAAACAAACCCATAGTTAAGATAAATACTGTTTAATCAAAGTACATTGTATGATGCTCATTACTGACTAGTAACTTACTATTTATTATCTCTCATTTGACTTATGGTGGCACCTAGCATCCTGTTGTGCTAAGCAATATACATACTGAAAGATGGTTCCTGCCTGTGCTGGAGTATATAAACCCCCCACTGGTACGGAAAGGGACATGGAGCTGCTTTGGATTGGAGTGGCCCTGCCCCTCCACATCTGCAGATCATGGCAGGACCGGAGGAGGAGTTAAAAGGAGAGAACTCTGCTCAGTTGGGGGCAGCCCTGAGATGGGAACAGACTTTTGAGTGCCTCCAGTCCTGAAGAGAGGGCTGGCCTTCTGCAGAGCCCCTGCCCTGGCAGAAGGAGGGTGCAGATCCCCTGAGCTAGACAGGGGAAGAGACTGAGACTTGCACTGGAGCCTCAGTGAACTCTGAAGTGGACAGTGATACCCCCAGGTCCCTCTGCAGTAAGAGAGACCCATAGTCTGGAGAGAGCTGCCTACAGGTTTTTTCTTTGCCTTTCTGTTTAACCTCGTTTGCTGGTGGTGGGCTGTTTTGTTGTTTCAGCTGAAGCCTTGTGTGGGAAAAAAGCTGCCAAGAGTGGGCCCGGTCGAAAGAGACCCTGCAGCACTGGGAGTGGAGGTAATTGGACTTGCATGTGTGGGCTTCCCATGTAGTTCCTAAAGGGGGTGCTATGCCATGGACAGATTTGTGACACCGTCGCAAACTGCAAACAATATAAATAGACATGACAGACAAAGTAAGTTTATCACCATTGCACAGATGGATTAAGTGAATTTCCCATGGTCATGCTGGGAGTCCATAGCAATGCCAGGCTCTCCTGAGTCCTAACCCTAGTGCTTTCACCACAAGACCATCTTCCCCCTCAGGAGGCTTGGATAGAGTACTAATAGTTTTCTTTTTCCAGAGGTGTGAATCATTGCCTGCTTAACTACCACCTGTCTTGTGCTTTTCCCCCTTCATTATGAGATGGTTTTGAGAAGTTACATTGTAACTGAATGTGTCAAAAGCCTACAGTATTAATTTGAGACTTCAGTCTGTAGATCCCTTTGGAACTGTTAATTCACTGCCTTTTCAAAAGAATAGCCATTTATGGAAATGTCCTATCTCCATCTGTAGAGGGCACAATTTCAACTCTTCAATGGCCTTGTCTGATGTCTGGCCCCATGTATTACTTTTAGCTCATTTAATATGAATGAAAAAGCAAAAAACCCAAACTGTGCACATACAGTCCCCAGTGCTAATGGGCCAGGGCTTGAGAGGTATTTGTGGCCAGTCATGAAACCATGGCACAGCGTCCACGTAACTTTGGATAATCACTTACTGTCTCTTTAAATTGCCCTGTGTTTCCAACTGCATGGAGCATTCAGCTTTATTTCATGTCCTTAACTGTTGTGTAGTATTGTTGTGAATGGTTAAACAGCTGCTGAAGTCCACTCCAGGGGTGGTTCCCTTTCTGCTCTTCATAGATTATAAGGCTGGAAGGAACCACTAAGATAATTTGGTCTGTCCTCCTGCATGACACAGGCCATAGGACTTCCCTGAATTAATTCCCGTTTGAATTTAATGAAGTGATTATTCTCATTGTGTATAGATGTGTTTCCACAGAATGGGGCCAGGAAGAGCGGAGTGGGAAAGCAAAGCCTGAGGCAGGAAGAGAAGGAAGTATCCTCAAGAAAAATGTGGTCAGTATGAGTGGTCATCTCTCTCACATTCTCAAGAAGATAACACTGTAAAAAGGATATGAATTTTCACACTCACTTCTGTGAAGTTGGGAGATGAAGAGCTACAGGACCCTGTAAGGTTCTCCTTAGGTTCCAAAGGTTTGGATAAGCATCCACATCTTTGGATGATTATCTGAACCAAATTCATGTCATTTGAGGTTGCCCCATAACTAATTGGTCCTAGTTATATTTTTCTAGTGTTAAGGCTGATTTAGTGTATACTTTTACAATTAATTTTGCAGTAGTGATGCTTGGTTAGGGCATGCCTTCATGCATCTTTCTCCAGGGTGGCTGGCTGCAGGCTTTATAGTATTAACAATGGGGTTTGCATGTTTTTTGTTTTATGACCCTTTTAGTCCCAGAAGAAGGGAAATAATTATTTTAAGGCAGAAAGGAGTGAATCATAATTATGCAAGTGAAACTTGGAATCTGCAAAATACTCTGTATTCCTATAGGCTATGAGTTCAGAAGCAAACCCCAAAACAGGGAAAGATTTTTGCTTTTGCTTGTAAGACTAAAACAAGGTGACTTGAGTCTTACCAAAATCACCTTGTCTAGTTCCATCCTCGGTTTCTACCTAGCTGAGCAGCTATTGTATTCAGCTACATGTCTTTTCAGGGATGGAGAGTGGGCCTTTGGGCTCCCATTTCTTTATTTCTATATATATTAAAGAGGAATACTTTGCTGAAACTTGTTTTATTCTCCAAAACGTCCGTGATGCCCCATTGTGGGTATTGCCAGCTCATCTGCTGAAGCTGTTCTGTGTGATACTGTATGATTAAACTTCCACTGCTGCTTTTCAGTGCTTGCACAGACTGTGTGCAGGTAGCAGCCTGCATGGGTCACATTCAGTAATGTCTTGCTACACATTAAAAGCAGTGGGAAGGAACTCCGGCGGTGATGACAATGCCAGGAGGTCTGTCCAACTTTTCCCCTGCAGCTGCTGTCCCCATGCTGTGTATGCATGCATATACAGGCTGCCTTCCTCTTTCAGTGCATGATCCAAAGACCACTGAAATCAGTGAATGACCTTAGAGGGTTTTGGATTATGTCTATGTGCTGTTTTTAATCCGGGGACAAAAGGAGTTGGCACATTCTTTTGTGTCCATCAACTCTCATTGTATCTCTACAGTATTTTACCAACATATAGAATTAGCCACCAACCTTGAGGCATCCATACAGACAGCGAGTCCTTCCGTGGGATGTCCCCTTCCCTCTCCCAAAGGTAGCACAATACTAGCTTCATGGCAACCACTTGGATGCCTTTGGCCCTCAGCTCCGTACTCTCCCCAGCTGTCTCCCAGTGGGCAGAAGCCACACATTAGCTGTTTATGCTGTAAACTGAGGGATGTTGCAGTGGAGACTACATGAGTTGTCCTGGGAATCATGCTGGCCTGAACCACTGATGCCTAGGGAATCCCCTCAAGCATACCCCCTGTCTGTGCTTCCATTTTCACATTGGGTCTGTAACCCTGCTATTATTATTACAATGTATTTGTATTTCCATAGTGCTCAGAGGCTCCAGACGTAGACTAGCTCCCCATGGTGCTAGGCACTGTACAAACACAAAACAAAAAGATGATCCCTGTCCCAGCAAGTTTATAATCTAAGTATAAAAAAAGAGACAACAGATGGACACAGGGAAAGAAACAATGAGGCAATATTGGCCAGCATGATAGGCAGTGGTCTAAACACACCAGAGGCCTAACCCTTGTCAATTTTTTGTAGGTTTCCCAGAAAAGGAGGGTTTTGAAGGAAGATAATGACTGAATGGAGGGAGGGTCATTTGCTGGCTCTGGAAGAGGTGGAGTTTATTGAATAATGGCTCTATTCCCCCATGACGCTTGGCCACAGTGGACTGGTATATGCCTGTATCTGCTCTCCTCCACACCTCACAGCTGACAGCAGAGAACCTCTTGTCAATAAGCCTTTTGTCTGAGGTTATATTTTACCCATTGCTTTTGTTTAGTTATCGTATTGTTCTGAGTCCTACACTGTATAAAATGCTGTGATTTCATGTTTTCTTTCTTTTTAAAATTAAATTAATTTTTAATATTTATTTTGTGAGCATCAATTCTTCCCCAGTTATCTAGCAGCTCTGGAAGATGTCTTTTGAGTTCTTCTTCTCCCCTTAGTAATGGTCATATTGCAGTTGTAACAGTCATAATGCGGTTGTTTGACCAAGCTCTTAACTTAAAGAGATTGTGTGGTTCCATTTCCTGTTTGCTTTCACCTTGATTTTTCTCTAAACTCTCTTGGTAGATGTATGTCATTTGAAATGAATTCATGAGCAAACATATAACTAAATAATATGGAAGGAAAACTCCATGCCCCGGTTCACAGAGAATGTAGACAGTGCTTTGTGCTGTATGGCAGAGCTGGAAGGATATTGCAAAATAAATCAAAAGTTTGTGAACATTTGTACAAATAAAACCAAGAAATTGGCTCCCACAGCATTTTCATGGATATTTTTATTTATTAATTTCATTTTATAAATATTAGTATTCTCAAAAGAAATGCTCCTGTAGCCATTTGAAAAGCTTTTCTCTCTCTCTTTTTTAGCCACACAATAGGTTCATCACTGTAATGTTTGCAAATGAGTGAGGAAAGGGCTCATGAATACCAGCAAAGCAAATCAGTGAGCTTATTTACAAGAATGTTTTCCTGTGTTCACTCAGCTTCATCATATGTGGTTCAATCCTTGGAAATTCAGTAAGGTTCTTTTTCATTATGATTCTAGTAAAAGATATTTCATTAATTTGAATCATCTAAAACTTCTTCTTGTCTATATGTATTTTATGGCAGTATATGAGTAGAATATAGATATTTTGTTAATGTCACATTTCTGTAAGGAATAGAAGTGTAGATTAGGTACTGTAATGCTAGGGTGACGGTGATATAAGTATCTGAATGGATGGAAGTTTAGATAACCACATGTGTTAACTGTTTCTAGTAATATTTGGGAGACAAGGTGGGTGAGGTAATATCTTTTATTGGACCAACTTCTGCTGGTGAAAGAGAAAAGAACTCTTCTTCAGGTCTTGGAAAGGTACTCAGAGTGTCACAACTAAATACAAGGTGGAACAGATTGTTAAGCATAAGGGGCTAACCCATGTTGCAAGTGACAATTCAAGGTGAAGTGGCCCATTAACACCTCTGTAGGACAAAGTGTTCACTCATGGACCTTGAAAGGTGTGTTGTAGAGTGTATTGGTCATCACAGCAGTGGAAATGTCTGATAAATTAATATTTAGTATTGACATAACTCACTGACATAACTCTCCAATTTCGCTCACTTTGGTCCCAGGGTTTCCACTCAGTTTTGGAAATCACTCATTTTTATTGCTTCAAATTACTTACAACAGAAATAGAGTACTGAAACTGAGGTTCTAAAGAGAACTGTATCTAAAGGAAGTTTGGTGTGTGATTGATTTGTACATCATTTTGGGAGTTTGTCATGCAGTGTGTCCCATTCTTGGGCCTTGACAGGTGAAGAGGCATCATTGTTAACTTCAGCAGAATTAGGATTAGTGAAGAAATGGATCAGTTCAATAATACCACAGTCTGAGTTTTGGAAAGAAGAAAAAGAGAGATCTATGTATGACACCAAAGCCTATGCCTTTAATAGATTCACCTGGCTCTGACCGGTAAACCTATTTCAAAAAATTTCAACTTAAGTTTGGTTATATGTGAAATTCTTACATTTTTTCCACCAAATAGCTTTGAATATTTTTTTCTGGGGAAAAATGAAAGTTTGTAGGCTGCTAAATGCCTTACTAGGGTGTTGTATTAGAAAGTGAAACACTATTGTGGAATAGTGCAAAGCGTCCAATAGACAACAAAAGGAAACTATTAGTAATTTCCAATTCTGGCATTGATTTCTGTGCAATCTGGTTGTGTCTAGTATCATGGAAGGCAAGGATTCACAACACAAATATTCAGTACACTCCTGTAATGCTACTAGTTAGCATTAGTATCAAGAGCAGCCCATAACTATTATAGCATCAATTTATGAAAAACAGTGGGCCAAATTCTGCTGTCACGTTCACTGGATTTGGAGTAACATCATTGATTACATCATATATACTGCTAAAAATAGCTGTGTAGACATTCAGGTTCAGACTCTGAAGCCTGGGGATGCGGAGTGGGCTTCAGAGCCTGAATTCCAGCCAAACCTGAACATGTACACAGCTGTTTTTAGTGCTGTTGTGCAAGCCTGAATCTGTAGAAGTGGGCTCTGAGATTCACTGCTGCAGGTTTTAAAACACAGTGCGCCCACATCCTGTAAGTCGTTTGACAGTAAGAGGATCACAATCAGACCCATGGTGTTCCTTATGTTTTTGATGATCAGGGCTCTTTGTGAATTCCTTTTTTGAAAACTCCTCCCTCCCCATTTCCAACTCATGTTAAATCCACAGTGCAATTGAAGGAGGACAAAAAGAGTCATTTGATATTGTTATAATATAAATACGTTATCAACTCCAAAGTAGGATGCCTGAATAAAGGCCAAAAAATACCCCTTTATTTGCCGGGATGATTAGTCATTTTACCAGCACCACAAATGCTTTTGAAATGGCAAAAGCAATTAGTAGCAGAGGCACTTCTGGCAACAGCTGCAAAATCACTTGCCATCAGTGTTTGACACAGGCATGATGGGTCTGTGACCGTGCCCCCCATAAGGCTTTATGAAAATAGGCTTATGAATATATATATGACATAACTGGAATATGTTCTATGCTACAGATGCCATGTAACATATCTATGTAAAGGTTACGATCTACTGAATCTATTAATCCTATTTGAATGCATGTATCATTTTTATGTTCGAAGTTATGAATATTGGCTGTGTAATGGCTTGATTTCTAAATAACCTTAGTAGAGCATTTGGTCAGTTCTTAAGGGTAATGCAAGCTGGAATCCTAGGTAACTCTAAAGTTACTTAAACATAGTGGGTCAAATTTGGCCCTCAGTTACATCCATCCATTGATGTCAATCTGCAGGGGCAGGGGGTGGGGTTGGGGGTGGAAACAAGGACAGGTGATACATTTCATGTATAAATACCTAAATCTATTCATGTCTCTCAGAGATTCCAGCCTCAACATCTCCTGCTTGTTTAACATGGACATATCATTCATCTAATATAAATATACTAAGAAAATGTTTTTGTGCATTCTGTTGCTTAGCTTACTTAAGGGCTAGTTCACACAGTCCTTTGTCACACAAGCATTCCCATTGAGATACACTCAGTTTGGCAAAGCACCCTATTAGTACTGTGCATTAATTTTAGCTGCCTTCAGGGCTTTATGGCCCTTCTCGTCTATGATTTCAGATGCAGGGGGAATAGCTCACATACAAATAATCCTGATTTAGTATAGTTAGAGTTTGCAATTTGCATGAAGAGCTCACATAGGACTGCAGCTTCCTTTTTAATATAATTGCTCTGTTCAGCAGGAAACTTGGCCAAGCACAGCCCAACCCAGTTGTACAGATGCCCCATCAGAGAACTGCTTAGACAATAGAACACTTCTTTCCTTCCCTGCAAAAAAGTTGATTAAAAGACACCAACTTACAGATATAGCTGCAGAGCTAGGAATGGCCTTTGATGGGGTATTCACCCCACCCCAGACCTGAAGGGGTTAAGATAGCCCAGAAGAGACCAATTAACCTTCATGGTTGCACCGGGAAGGAGGCCCAGTGATTTATAAATGACTAATTGCTAATGAAGCCCAGCTATGGGAAAAGCTAGGCAAGGAATATAAAGAAAAGAAATGTGTAGTATCAGGGAGCTGCATGGGAAGAGTCTGCAGTCACTTGCTGGGAGAGGTCAGGTGACAACAACAACAACAAACCATGATGGGTTTCTAGCCTTAGAGGAAAGGTCAATGCCAGAAGAGCTGTGAAGAAAAAAAACCTGAGAAGGCAGGGTAGGAAGAATCCCAAGGAAACAGCAGCAAGGAGGGAGACCATGTAGACCTTGGTGGCTGGTTACAGGGTCCCTGGGCTGGAATCCAGTGTAGCAGGAGGGGCTGGGTTCCCCTACCAGCCACTGGGACATGGCGCAGGACAGTTGGAGATGTAATCCGGACACCTGGTCCAGTGAGACTCTGATAACCTAGAAGGGGCGATTATATAGTGGCCTAGCTGGAGGGCTGAGTCGCAAAGAGGGAGCACTGTTAATTACAGGAAGACAGACCACCACAGCAATGCAGTGAGCATGCTCAGGTATGGGTAATTGTGATCAAACCCTGAGAGCCAGATTATGATACTTTTACTCAAATTGAATTGTATTTTATGCCATGAGTAATCCTGTTGACGTCAACGGGACTATCTGCAGAGTGAGGTACTACTCAGTGAGCATAAGAGCATCACCATCTGACCCTTATCTGTTAGTGAGAAAGCTGAAAGGACTAATAGGAAGACATCTTTGAAGGGGAACCTCACCTCCAGGTTATGGATCAGATGCAAATGTCAGTGATATGTATTAACAGTGGTAGTGTAATGGGTTCTGCTCTCTCCAGGTCTTTCGGTTTCCCTTCAGGTTGTGATTCCTTCTGGATTTAACACAGGCGACTTCAGTGGAGACTAAGTACTCTCAGGGCTTCACAGGATCAAGCCAGTAACTCTATATGCCTCAGTTTCACCATCTATAAAATGCATATAATACCTACCAACCTCACAGGGGGTGGCATGAAATTTGTGCAATGACTATTTGAAACAGCACTTTGAGACAATCAGTTGAAAGGTGCTAGATGAGAGTGAAGGAGTAGCAGTAATAACCCATTTGAGTCTTTCCAGTGATATTTTGAATAATTTACAGCACCGTGTCACTAGCCCTTGAATAGTGATGTAGCACAAGACCATTGATTTGCTAGCCTAATTCCTCTTCAGGCACATAGACAGCAGCCCCTGGGAAGTCTCAAGAGTGCTTTGGCAGCATTTAATAGTGGTTCCCCCTTTCCTACAAAATGACCAGTTTTCCAGTCCCCAAGTCATTCCTCCATGACACAAGACTCCATGGCAGAAGGGACTTCTTGGGATGAGGGTGATCATCAAAAAAATAAAAGGCTAGATTTTATACTTGCCCTTCTCTGGCTTCTGCCCTCCACTGTCCCTCCCCGACCATACACTATTAGTGCCTGTGAACTGGGACTGGTCTTAAAACACATTCATTATACATACTGCAGAACATGAAATGTCATAAATAACCATGAAGAAGAGTTTCTTTCCATAGGCCAGAAAGAACTGAGTCCATCCATAGACTTCATGATTTTACAGCTTGCAGCTACCACATCAACATTTAATAGCAAGAGAAGCGACTAGATTTTTATAGATTTAAGTCAACAAGAGAATGTCAACAAGGCAGAGATG